TACTACACACTAATACAAATATTTCTACTTTGTTGTTGCATGCGTAAAGAGAAGGTACAAATATAAATGCATTTTGTTTTCATTGACATGTTTTCTTCTCCCCGAGTGGAGCAGGCTGGCTCTGTGAGAAAGATCCATGTTTATAGCTTCAGCTTCAGAAGATAATGTCTTTTTACATGTCGATGCAACACATTCTCACTCCCAACTCGGCCTATGCTGACGTTATGTCAGGGTCCCTGTCGTCACTTCTCAACGCAAGGGGGGCCCGTTAGCGTCGAGCTTCAACTACCAGAGTCCCATTGACTTGCATTGAGCTCCCTGAACGCTGGTAATAGACGAGTTGGGATCGCGAAGAAATGCTCTCCGCAGATCCATTCTCACAGCGTTATAAACCTTTTTCTAACTCAATATCAAGCCACACTTATTGTGTTTACTTCTTTATTTAAATTGAATAATGTCTGACTTTTGTTGCCGTCAGTTATGGGGAGAGTAGGGGCTCAGAAAACTGAGATCTGTATTGTTTCATCGTTTTCTCCTTCTAATTTTGTGTTCTTTTCTAAACCACACTGTTATTTACTCAACAATAACTCACTATTAACCTTGTGTTTATTTATTTGTTTGATTGTATAATGTGGGACTTTTGGAGTCCGTCAGGACCGAGGGTCGGAGCAGCTCATTCGAACACAGGAAGCTGTATTTTCAAAATAAGAGTTCATTTTAATATTTTGTTTGATAATATTATTTTTATTAACTGGACCACTGGGTCATGTTAAGACCATCTTTTCTGTCGGTTTGGTGTTACAAATATAAAAACAATATACACTGAACAAAAATATAAACGCAACACTTTTGTTTTTGCTCCCATTTTTCATGAGATGAACTCAAAGATCTAAAACATTTTCTAAACACACAAAATAACCATTTCTCTCAAATATTGTTCACAAATCTGAAAAAATCTGTGATAGTGAGCACTTCTCCTTTGCCCAGATAATCCATCCCACCTCACAGGTGTGGCATATCAACATGCTGATTAGACAGCATGATTATTGCACAGGTGTGCCTTAGGCTGGCCACAATAAAAGGCCACTCTGAAACGTGCAGTTTTGCTTTATTGGGGGGGTCTGGGGGGGGTCCGAAAACCAGTCAGTATCTGGTGTGAGGGGTAGGGGTAGGGCTAGGGGTTAGGGTTAGTAGGGTAATGTTGTGAATCGAGTGGCCTGTGTTCGTCGTCCATAACATACGCCTGCCCATACCATAACCCCACCACCACCATGGGCCACTCAATTCACAACATTACCCTAACCCTAACCCTACCCCTACCCCTACCCCTCCCTTAGTAACCTACTGTATGGCAGGTGGAGGGGCAGTGATGTTACAGGTGGAGGAGCAAAACTGCAAGACTGAAAACTCACAAGACAGAGAAATTAAAGTTTGTTCTCCAGAGAAGAGGTTGATTTCACTTCAATTTTTTATTTCATATTTTTCTAAAGATGTGGAAATGGCAAAAAAAATAACTTGAGAGCTGTAACCAAGACAACTGTAACAACATGAGTAGAGAGCCACCAAGGTTTTTCAAGTCCCTCTCTTACTCCATTTTGCCAACCCAAACTTCCAGGTACATGACGGGACACCTTGCTTGTTTTTGTTGTTTGCGCTCCTCTGTTTGACTGGCTGCTGGTTCCCTCGTATGCTGACTGGCTGCTGGTTCCCTCGTATGCTGACTGGCTGCTGGTTCCCTCGTATGCTGACTGGCTGCTGGTTCCCTCGTATGCTGACTGGCTGCTGGTTCCCTCGTATGCTGACTGGCTGCTGGTTCCCTCGTATGCTGACTGGCTGCTGGTTCCCTCGTATGCTGACTGGCTGCTGGTTCCCTCGTATGCTGACTGGCTGCTGGTTCCCTCGTATGCTGACTGGCTGCTGGTTCCCTCGTATGCTGACTGGCTGCTGGTTCCCTTGTATGCTGACTGGCTGCTGGTTCCCTCGTATGCTGACTGGCTGCTGGTTCCCTCGTATGCCGACTGGCTGCTGGTTCCCTCGTATGCCGACTGGCTGCTGGTTCCCTCGTATGCCGACTGGCTGCTGGTTCCCTCGTATGCCGACTGGCTGCTGGTTCCCTCATATGCTGACTGGCTGCTGGTTCCCTCATATGCTGACTGGCTGCTGGTTCCCTCGTATGCTGACTGGCTGCTGGTTCCCTCGTATGCTGACTGGCTGCTGGTTCCCTTGTATGCTGACTGGCTGCTGGTTCCCTCGTATGCTGACTGGCTGCTGGTTCCCTCGTGTGCTGACTGGCTGCTGGTTCCCTCGTGTGCCGACTGGCTGCTGGTTCCCTCGTATGCCGACTGGCTGCTGGTTCCCTCGTATGCCGACTGGTTGCTGGTTCCCTCGTATGCCGACTGGCTGCTGGTTCCCTCGTATGCCGACTGGCTGCTGGTTCCCCTCGTATGCCGACTGGCTGCTGGTTCCCTCGTATGCCGACTGGCTGCTGGTTCCCTCGTATGCCGACTGGCTGCTGGTTCCCTCGTATGCTGACTGGCTGCTGGTTCCCTCGTATGCTGACTGGCTGCTGGTTCCCTCGTATGCTGACTGGCTGCTGGTTCCCTCGTATGCTGACTGGCTGCTGGTTCCCTCGTATTCTGACTGGCTGCTGGTTCCCTCATATGCTGACTGGCTGCTGGTTCCCTCGTATGCCGACTGGCTGCTGGTTCCCTCGTATGCTGACTGGCTGCTGGTTCCCTCGTATGCTGACTGGCTGCTGGTTCCCTCTTATGCTGACTGGCTGCTGGTTCCCTCATATGCCGACTGGCTGCTGGTTCCCTCGTATGCTGACTGGCTGCTGGTTCCCTCGTATGCTGACTGGCTGCTGGTTCCCTCGTATGCTGACTGGCTGCTGGTTCCCTCATATGCTGACTGGCTGCTGGTTCCCTCGTATGCTGACTGGCTGCTGGCTGAGTGGGTGGTGTCCGGCCTCCCTGTCTCTCCTCACTAGCCATGTCCTCTCTTTCTTCACCCTCACTTTCCTTTCTCTCAGTCTCCTCATCCCTTCTTCCCTCAATCTTTGAGACTAATGTAAGTAGAAGACATGGCACTGTACATTTTCGAACATATAAAATATTATACCACTTACTTTTGTTACTAAGAGTTCATACTTATTATACCTGTGTCACCTTTCACACTATCGCTGTGATCATGAGCTATGGGCTTTGTAGATACAGGTCCCGGGGTGAATCGTGGTGCAGGGGCCCTTCTCTTTTTGACCACAGGGCGATGCACGAAGATGGTGGGTATAGCCTCTGCTCTCAGCCTAGTCTTGCCCTTTTTTGTCTTGACAAACTGGTCTGCATCAAAATGTGCCTGCGGAGTGACTTGAGGTTACTTCACACACAGAACAACTCAGTTTTGTCTGCCCACATACATATTCCATAGTGGTTGAATACACAGTATTAGGAAACACTTTATACTTACTGGACATGTTATACTCATTACATACTGTATATAAAATATGACCAAGAATGTGAGACAACTTTATAGAAATTCATATCACATCTGTTACTGATGCCATGTGTCATACTTTGTTAAACTCACAAATATTAAAGTTCCATAACTTCAGTTGGGAACAAAGACCACACCTTATCTCCCCAAGGCAATTCCCCATCCAATAGGTGTGCTATATAGGTGTGTATAACCCTTTCTCCTGTCTGTTTATCCCTCTTTCAGCACAAGAACCAGAGGGGGATTCAATGGAGCCTGAATACCTGCACTGAGACCCTCACCCTGCACCCTGAGTCTCAACTCTCAGTGTTTTTCAAGCCTTTCCCTGTTTGTTTGTATTAAACAAAACATTAAGCTTTCCCAATGGTGTGGTTTTCGTTTTGTGAAAAAGTGCAAATGCAGTGTTTGTATATAAATCACATATTTTTTTGCTGTTGGTTGTGAAATTGCTCCTGCTTCCTCCGCTCTGTGTCAGTGGGGAAGCCGTACATTCGTACTCCTTTCTCGGAGCGATTGGAGCATCCCCAGGCAGCACAGCAAACCATAGTGGCGACTAGGAGGCAGCTCAGCAAACCATGGTGGCGACTAGGAGGCAGCACAGCAAACCAGGACAACACGGAGGAAAAGGCACAGACAAACTGCATGATATGCTATTCAATGTTTATTGAATTCCATGTATTTGCAATGGATGTTCCTAAAACAACACATTTAACATCATCATCATCATGCTGCTGCTGCTAGTCCTTTGATAGTCACCTGTTGGTCTCCTGTCCTTTCTGAAAGCCATAAAGATGACATTAGTCATTTAGATAACTTGTGTCCTCAATTACCATGGTTACTGAAACTACCATGAATTTAAGAAAATGGTAGACATTAATCTAATCTGAATTTTAAAGCATTACTTTAGATCCCCTCCCTCTAAATATATCAATAAACATTAGAAAGTGATGTTCCTGACCACCATACAAGTTTAAGAAGATAATATTGGTTTTAAAGAATTCAAAGCTATAAATAAACAGCAACAGGATCTTTAACCAAGGCACTGCTAGCCTAACATGTAAACTAGTTGTTCACACTAACCCTAATATTATCACTTAATATTAGCAAATTCTATTTTATTTTTTAAAACATATTGATGTAAATACATACACATATCGATTTGTTGTATAAATATTGCAAATCAAAACCTTTATTCACTAATAGTTACCAAAAATCATAGTTCTATCTCCTGTTATCAATGCATTCACATTGCCCGCCATGAACTTCCGGGGAACGATCCTCGTCTACATGAACCACGTGACGATAACCGTTTTTGGACTTCTGTTGTCGTAACTCTTCTATCTATATGGCGCTGGGCAAACCTATGCGCTTATGCGGCGCAATTGGTGTGGCGCGGCACGGTTTTGCCGCTGCGAGGCTCCACTAGCACCCTCACTGCACCACTCTACACTTGCATAAACTTCACAGCGGGCGGAACTTGTCATAAAGTCCGCGAAAATAAAGCCCACCCATTTAGAGGGAAGATATGATTGGTCAATTGTATTGTCACTTGACATTGCTCTCTCGTTGAGTTACCCTAGCTGGCCCTCTGTGAACTCATAGCAGGACCACCAATCAGCTCCTATCTTCACAGAAACTCGCAGAGACGAGCTTCTTTCATTTAACCCTTCACATTCCAACAGAAACTGGCAGATTCGATGGATTTATTTCTTTGGAAATGTTATTTTAGATACAATTAAATCAAGTTATTTTGGTAAAACTGATGAAAAATATAACTACAAATATATTTTAAAAATATATATTTAAAAAAGATGTTGGGAATATCTTAGGCCCTCAGAGGCCCCGGATCAGGTCCTGGTAGATATGGAAGTCCAACAAAGTCTGGAGAAACACACAAAGGATATGTGTTGCATTAAAATAGCATTCATCACCAAACCTCCATCAAGGATCCAAACACCAAGAGTCTGTTGTAAAATGGTTTACATTCATAACTAGATGTTCACCACACAGATATATAACAGTTTGTATTGAATGACTTCCACAGGCTTGATACGATTAACTGAGATAGCACTAACTTCCATACATCAGCCTTATTAACACCACCTAGCGTTCAAAGGCGAGTGAGGAAGAGGAGCTCCTTCTGGTGGATGAAGTTTAGCATCACAGTCAGTCAGGTTTCAGTTGATGTGTGTTTGCTCAGTCTTTCACAGCACCTATGTATATACCTGAGAGGAGAAGAAGACAATAAAGCAACATGTTTGAATCAGTGTTGGCATGTTATCATTACACTGCTGTGTCTCTGCATGTAAACTGAAGCATTATATTTACATGTTAGTTTCTGGTCCTTGCTGTTTCACTGAGATCTCCACGTGTCAACAGGATAGAGGTTTGCTGGCGGAGGCTGCAGGTGGAGGCCGGAGGCTGGAGGCCTGTCATTGTAGGAAACGTGTGCTGGACCTTTACCTGCACTGGATTTATTGTGGTCGCCTGATTAACAACATTCATTTAGAAATATGCACCATGTAAGCACAATATTGAAAGACTAAAAGTCTAAAAAGCTCTTTCAGAAAGGTCAGGAAACAAACGCACCTGTTGGCCCTCATGCCATGAATACTGTGACGCTTATATTGTACATCATGTTCATATTACAAATTAAATATTGCACACATTTTCAGGTACTCTACAAAAATATAATGTCACATATCTTCTGGGAATGATTTACTAAGTGAAAGTACTTTAAAGTTACCTTTAATTAACAATATTCACAATATGAATGCATTTTAGCTGGGTGCTTTGGGATATAGGTCTACATAGGGAATATTAATCATTTGTTAGATGTTTCATAAGATTGTTAGCTCGCTAAAACAGTATTGTTAGCAAGGCAGTGGCCTAGCTTAAATGTTATCCATTTCTTTGTAATGAGTATTTTCATTGAGTCGGTCCAGTAGGTTACCTGAGTCCAGGGGCGGCGCCAGGGGGGAGCTAGGGGGTGCTGAAGCACCCCCCAGGATTGCCAAAGCACCCCCTAAGCACCCCCAAGAAATATGTGTTTTTTTTTTTTTTTCGAAAATTATTATTATTATTTTTATTAAATTAAATTAGAAATATTATTGATTACATCAATGCAAATGTGAAACAAACACATTTTTGACCAAAAACATAAAGCCAACACAGGTGATATGATTAGGCCAATGGTCAGCACCCATTCGATTTTTGACCTACCCATAGGCTAAATTACTTTGTGACACTTGATTGACTTCCTGTTAGCTAGAGCGCCAACTGATTTGCTAACAGAAAAGTGAAAAATTGATCGTTTTTTAGTCCTTAAACGTCCACGTGTGGACACTCAATCAAAACCAACTGAAAGCGAGAGGGATTCTGCACATAATAGGCCTCGTGAGTACAAGTAGCTTACTTCTGGGTCTCTGTGTTTCATTCAAGCCCTGCTCTGTGTGTGTGTGTGTGTGTGTGTGTGTGTGTGTGTGTGTGTGGCACGAGCCATTTTGTGTGCGTGCGTGCGTGCGTGCGCGAGCGAGCAAGCGAGAGAGCTCGCCTCGCGCACCAGTGGGTATCTACCGGAGATCGTTGTGGTTAGCATCTGGTGCTAGCTAGCCAAGCTAATGGATATAAAGAGCTTTTTCAACAACAAGGTGGAGGGAGAACTCTCTCCTGTCAGACGGAGAGTCTCAGGTAACCTCAACTCAGGTGAAGTAAAGGACTCTCTCAGTGTTTAGATAGTTAACTTTAGTCTAGTTATCTCAGTGGGTCTCAAACGGTTTGTTTTAAAAGGGGAGTGATTTGTAAAATATCTATAAAGAAATAGAAAATCTGTTGACAGTTCTGTTTGGTATGGGTGTTGAGATGTATCCATAGATCTCTTAATGTTGCTCTCAAAGTGCACCAGATTGATGCTTTTAACTTAAATATGTAACAAAAAATCTTCCCGGGGGAGCTAGCCCCCGGACCCCCCTAGAGGAGATGAGGACCCTCCTAGAGGAGGTGAGGTCCGCTCCCCACTTGTAAAAATAGCACTTTACCCCTGCCTATATGCCGTGAGCTGATTATCGAGCCTTCATTGTAACAGTCGCGGGTGCACTGTGTGTGTGTGTGTGTGTGTGTGTGTGTGTGTGTGTGTGTGTGTGTGTGTGTGTGTGTGTGTGTGTGTGTGTGTGTGTGTGTGTGTGTGTGTGTGTGTGTGTGTGTGTGTGTGTGTGTGTGTGTGTGTGTGTGTGTGTGTGTGTGTGTGTGTGTGTGTGTGTGTGTGTGTGTGTGTGTGTGTGTGTGTGTGTGTGTGTGTGTGTGTGTGTGTGTGTGTGTGTGTGTGTGTGTGTGTGTGTGTGTGGAGTGTTGCAGTAGAAAATTCAACTGTAGTGCTGGTGCATTAATGGGAAACCCTAAATGTTTGAGCACCCTCTATGAAACGTCAAGCTACCCCACATTACCCCCTAGAGAAAATCTCTGGCGCCGCCACTGCCTGAGTCTAATGCTAACTGTGTTTAATGGTGTGAATCAGTACAGTAGATGTTTGGAGGAAACATCGGTTAACTTTCAGGCCTCTGAAAGCTTCGGCGGTAAATGACATTCAAAAACGTGCAGATTTTCAAAGCGATCAAATCTCACATTTTCCATCCATGCTCAACGTCGCTTCCAGAAGCTTCTTTGAGGCCTTAGCTCTTGACAGGATGTAACAAGTCTGCAGTAGAAGCAACCTTTTGAGAGGAATCGTCAAGTGAAAGTGGAGAAAACTCTTTTCTTGACCGTCTTCAGGTTTTGTTTTAAACTAAATGTTGATCTTATATCAATAAGGCACTGCGGAAACCATAGCAACCATGTAATCCCTCACGTCCATTTCTTACGTAGCCTAAACGCACAGTCAAATGTAAACTCTGTAACCTAACGTTTATAAAACCAGCCTAAAATAAAGTCCATATATAAATCTACACATCTAACTGGCATTATAGGACTGGACATTTATAAGACGCAGTTTTCCGAGCATTACGCTGACACAGCAGGTCGGAGTTTCCTGAAACATATGTCCCAAAACTTGTATCTACTTCTAACATTATGTTTTGTTCATTATTACGATATTTGATGATTGCTTTTGACTCAGTATCAAATAAGAGTTAATTACGTCTATGTTGTTCACCTAGTTGTTTTAAAGTACTTTGGTGTAACGTAATGAGTTTTTTATATTAAAGTTCAAGCTATCACTCTTGTTAAATGACATTGTACGTGTTGCCAGTAGGCTATGAGTCCAATTGCAATCTATACATTCATGAAGGAGTGAGAAATTCGTATTTTTTATTAAACATTTTCGGGGAATTTGGGGCAGCAGGTATATCAACATGTACATCCTTGTTATCTCTGGATCCCCTATGATCTCGACTGCATGCACTGAACACAGATCTCATTACAAATATTAGATGTATCTCTTAGAGAACGGACACAAATGGACATTCACTTTGAAGGATAACATGTAATTCCTGAAGTCAGGTCACAAACTAATGGTCCCTGTTTAGAGATGCCCTCCATCAGCGTGTAGTGGCACTCATCCGCCACCTGAGGGTGGTGCAGAACCAAATATGTCAGACCGAGAATTTCATTTGTGAGTTGATGAAGAAAAGAACATTTAAACCTGGAGATGATCTTTGACCTCCATGAGAGCAGAATAATTCATACTTGATCAATAGTTTTAGTCGAAGGTTTGGGCAAAGCTTGACTCTTGGAGAATTGTGTCAGTACTTGTGGGTAGATGGAGGAAGACTTAAAGCATCTGCAACTGAACACTAAGTCTGTTCTTTCTGGGACAAAGCTTGCAGAAAATAGATTTAAAGTTTTGGATATGGGCAAAAATGTTGATTTCATTCTAAATGACTTGTGCAAAGCGATTACAAAGCTGCACATTTAGAAATGTCACGTTTGGAGGCAGAGCAGAGTGGATGTTTGAATTAGTTTTTGGTTGTTCATAGCATATAAATTAGGGCCGGGACTCGATTAAAAAAATTAATCTAATTAATTAGAGGCTTTGTAATTAATTAATCGAAATTAATCGCATTTTTAATCACATATACATATTTGACCTAAGAACAGTGAGAAGCAATTTTTTTCACATGGATTTTAGTATACCATTAGGCGCATTCACACCGCAGTACTTTTCCCACAAAGGTTCATGAGAACTTAGTTCATGAGAACTCATACCTGGGGGAGGATTAGGCAAATGAAGCCGCTGACGTCACTTCTTCTTCTTCTGCTTTGGGTTTACTGGCAGGCCGCAAACCACTTCACGGCGTATACTGCCGCCCAAAGTCCCCGGCCGGAAGTCCCCGGAGTTGGGGACTGGCTTCAGTAGAAGCTGCTGGGACTCCCAGCAGCCTTCCGAGTAAATCGCCAGAACGCCGACACCTCCTCATCTCCACCGCTCCCATGTTTTATTTTGTGTTGCCATAAGTTAGTCTCTCTGCGTTTCTGCGCTGGGCTAATGCTAATAATGCTAATGCGAGGATAATAAAATGGCGGCTTCACAACACTTTTTGGGAGTTTTACGGGGCGTGGTTTGCAATCCGCCCAGCCAATCAGAAATATAGCTCTTTTCTCACAAGAGAGCCGTACGAAAGTCCCTGCTCTCTAGCAGGGACTTTCGTGGGGGTAAAAAGGTTCTCATGAACTAATTTTAGTACCGGCTCTTTTTGGTGTGAACGCGATAAAATAGGCTAACGTCCACGCTAGCTGCTATATGTTTTGCATTGAGGTGATACTTGAGGCTTGATGTGCTGCGGTGATATGCGAATTCCTTTTTGCATAATTTGCACACAACCGTGCTCTTATCGACGCTTCCATCCGTCCGTTTTTTAAAACAACATTTCCCACTGTTGTTCACTGTGGTTTGTTGTTGTCTGAAGTCATGAACGTTAGTTGGTGCTCCAGTATAATCGGTACGCCTGAAACTCATCCAGTGAGAAACGTTCCGCGGTGCAAAAATAAGTGCGATTAAAATGCGTTAATTTTTTTAACGCGTTAATTTTTGTGTAATTAATTAATCTTAATTAACGCGTTAAAGTCCCGGCCCTAATATAAATACATCTCGTGTTAACCAACAGTCATGTTTTGAATCATCTCTATCATCGAGGCTAACTCAGAGCAGCTTTACTACTTCAATGATGATCATTTTAAAAAGATAATGAAAAAATGTGCAACATTTAAAAAATGTGTCGTATCCTCCTGGGACCCAGCCCATTGAAAATGTCCACTGTAGTGGACATTTTGTTAACATGCATCTCCTTTTACTCTTTTGAGCTACTCTGTCAGTCCCTGATGTGCTGTACAGAGGACATCCTGGTCTTTCCAGTGAGATGTCATTGGTTAAAATTGCATGCTGGGAAGTTCCTCTTTCTTTTCATCCAAAATGGCTGGCATACCAAAAACAAAATGTTATAGAAGCAGGAGGAGAAGTCAAATATTGTTGAATAATTGTAATTTTGACCAAGAAAATCATATATGTTCTTGTTTATTAACATGTGAGGAACTATATGATTAGTTCTGAAAGCAATTACATAATTCAAGTTTTCAAATAACAGCTCTTTTATAAATGTCCATCCTAGT